TGTTGTGTGTGTGTGTGTGTCAGGGGGAAGTTTCTCAGTGGCACTATGAGCTTTCAGAGGATGACCTAACACTCCGGTTCCTTCCTCTCCGGCCCACACAAGTCCCCCAATTGTTTATTGCACCTCTGTGTGCTCTTATAATTCAGGCCAAACGGCCTCTCAGAGAAAAACTGCCCCAAGCAGCCTTCTCCGGGCTGTTTGAGAGCAAAACTCAAGAGTTCACACGCAGTTCTGGACGCTGTGGAAAGTGGGCTGTAGAAACTGAATTTTAGAGAAACACAGAAAATACATTATTTATATATTTGGAGCCTTAGTTGTACAGTATTCAGTGTAGTCATGAATTGATGATTCAGTTGATGAACACACCTGTAACAATCAAAGGTGTTTGGAGACTTGAAATTGCATCTTCTTCACTGCTAAGTGCTTCTTGCTCGACAGGATATCGGACAGGACGTCACATATAGAGGAACCAATTAAATCTGTAGACAAAGGGGAATTTAGTCAAAGGGAAAGGCCACGTTTTCAGATAGGACATCAAGAGGGGCAGGCATATTATTTGTACTCTTTTTTTGTATCAAAATAAGATAAGGTACATCTTAAGGTAAGGTAATCCCCAGTGGGACATTCAGGTCTCATAGCAGCATCATTAATGAGAATAGAACCAAAGCAAGATAATAAAAACCGGTGACCATGAAGTCAAATAGGGCCTTACATTTGGGGGGAAAGTTGCTCCTTTCGCACCTTCTACTGCCTGACTGCCTGCTGAACTGAAATTAATTCACTTGATATAATGATATAATACAAAAAGGCAGGTATCTCCATATTTAAGTGTCTGAAAACAACCTTTTTTTTTAAATGTTTGCGTAAATAAATACTAAAATGATGAATCAATACTAATATTTGTTTCTGTTAATCAAACAATTAATTATTGGACTGTTTGTCAAACTGCCAATTTAGTTAGTTAGGTAATAACACCCCTCCCCAGAACACAGAAAACAGCCTAAATTAAGTCAGACTGAATAATGCAGTGATGTGACAGCTCAGTTTCATTATCAGGCTAATACCGACATTAGAGAGACGGGCTTCTCCTAATTAATAAAAAAGAGATTGGCTAGCGCTCCAACACATTGTACGTGATAGGCTAAGGGGCGGGACATCGCTAAGCGGTTGACCAATCACAACAGAGCCGGCCAGCTAACCAATCAGAGCAGACTGGGCTCTGGTTTTAGACAGAGGGTGAAAGAAGAGATACTGCCATACAATCCAGACTCATATTAGTCAAAGTCAACTTTATTGTCAATCTTTCAGTTTGTGTTTACAGACAGAGCGATGGAAATACCGTTTCCCACAATCCCGAATACAATATAAGTGCATATGTAACCGGTTGGTTATTCCCCTCCTCCAGGTGAGTACATAAAGAACTGGCGACCGCGTTACTTCCTGCTGAAGTCAGACGGATCCTTCATCGGCTACAAGGACAAACCGCAGGACTCGGACCTGGCGTACCCCCTCAACAACTTCTCTGTAGCAAGTAAGACAGTCAGACTCAACAGGCAACATGTTTCCTGCCCTGGAGAAAGGACCCCACATCTCTAAGTGCCCTCATCCCTCTCTCTGTGGTTCTTGCAGAATGTCAGCTGATGAAGACGGAGCGGCCCAAGCCGAACACCTTCATCATCCGCTGCCTGCAGTGGACCACCGTCATCGAGAGGACCTTCCACGTGGACACTCCTGATGAGAGGTGAGCGTCCTCCTCCTCCTCCTCCTCCTCCTCCTCCTCCTCCTCCTCCTCCTCCTCCTCCTCCTTATATCTATCTGGCCTAATTGTACCCAGGGAGAAAAAGGGTAAACTAGCTACAGTAAATACCTAGCACTGAACATACATGGAGACCACTGAATGTGAATGATTGCCAATATTTCAAAGTTGCATTTGTTATATTTTGGATCATTAGGTCAATTCTCAGCCAAAATTATATTAAAGTTTCACAATTAAAACCAATTACAATAAGAAATAGGTTTATTACCATAAACATTTACACACACAAGAAATGCGTCTCGTTTTTTGGGCAGTAATTAGAGGAAGGTAAAAGCAAGTCGAAGAATCCTAAAATCAAAAATGGTAGAAAACCCCTTTCCATAATGAAGGAGCTGAAAGGTTTGTGCAGGAATGTGCGATATATTGACCAGTGTTCCCAGTATGGAGAATACTGCACGCCTCCTTACAAGGCCAGGCAGGCGTGAACATCTTACGCCTGTGCTCGCCTCTTTACACTGGCTACCAGTCAGTTTTAGAATACAATTGAACATGTTACTGTTCGCATACAAAGCCCGTAACGGTTTGGCCCCCCCGTACCTGGCAGATCTTTTAGGTCGGCTGACAGATTACTTCTGGTAGTCCCTAAATCAAGGTTGAAGCAGCGAGGAGACAGAGGCCGTTTCTCAATGTCGAGTATACCTGCTGCAAAGCCACTATTTCAAGTATAATACGTCATCGAGTTGCGCCGAATGCTGGGCATTTAAACAGTCCTTCGGCGCCACTCGATGACGTATTATACTTGAAATAGTGGCTCTGCAGCAGGTTTACTCGACATTGAGAAACGGCCAGAGCCTTTGCTGTTGCAGCTCCAAAAGTATGGAACGAATTGCCCCTCCAGGTTAGACTTGCTCCAACTGTGCCTGTTTTTAAATCTCGTTTAAAAACCCACTTATTTTCCCTGGCTTCTACTGACCAGACACTTGTGCTTTTACATTTGGGTTTTTACCTTACTATTGTTTTGTATTGTTTTGACGTCATGTAGGAGAGTTTCTCAGTCTGTGGCTTCTGATCTGGTTTCATTGTCTCTACATTTGTTTCATGTCCTGTCTGTTTTTATGTATTTATGCTATGGTTTTATACAGTTGTTGATGTACAGCACTTTGTTCAACTCTGTTGTTTTTAAATGTGCTATAGAAATAAAGTGGATTGGAATATTGAATATTTGTGCAGAGTTGACATCGACCAGAAACACTAATTGTGTGGAGGAGCTGCTACCTGAACCCTTTCCACATTGTCCTTTGCCAGGAAAGGAAACTTGCCTTGCATGTTAAACATTTTAAAAGGCGTGGCTTTAGGGACAAATCAAATGTTTGGTTCTCAGTCCTGAACGAGTGTTTGTCTCAGCAGTGAGAAGAAAGACAGGAAACAGGGGGGGGGGGGGCTGCGGCTCCACTCCAAGCTTTACACGGTTCTCGTTCAAAAACCCAATATAATGTACATATCATGACTGATTACCTGTCACTGGACTCTGCTAACAACATCCTCTAACAGCTCACATGAGCAGCAGAGGCACCTTGTAGGTTTTTAAAGGAGTGAATATATGATTGTGTTCGTTGGACCTTTCATTGCCTCACATAGCACCAACGTATGAAAGGAAACCAACAAATTCAATGTCATCCTGAACCTTTTTCCTAAGTGTTATAGAAGCACTGGGAAGTAAATGGTACACGTTTCTATTAAATAAAAGCTAGTGAGTAAGGGAAACATCAAGAAAAGTCATTACTGTGATTCCTCTGTGTTCCTCTGGTGGTCCTATGATGTTTCTGTCTCCCCTCGGCCGGCAGGTTGAGTGTGATCAACTCTTAAAAACAACTGAGATAGCTAGATTAGTCTTTTCTCAGACATTTGAAACCTCTGTGGAGAGTCTTGCAACAAATAAAGCAAGTAATGCCAGTGGTTTTTGAAAGATACAAAGAAAAGTTACTCAGAGTAAATAAATCTCAAACTGAACACAAAACTTTCCGAAACGCAATAACTAAGAACAACCATGACATATTACAAGATGTTCTTCTCCCTGCTCCTTTCCAACGTGCGCTATAAATAAAAGAGGTATAAGTGTACATGTTTTGCTTTAAAATAACTGCCATATGTGGAATAAATAAATGTTTATCTCTTAATATCTATATATATTTATTATTAAAGAACAATAATTCATGAAATAAAATGGTCGGCCAAGAGGTGCTCACATATATAATATAATAAATAGTAATTGGTGTTATAAGCATAGTATTCTGTGCAGTTTAAACATATGGAGAGCGTAAACTATATTTCACAGAGGGTGAGTCTAAAGCTCAGAGGGTGAGTCTAAAGCTCAGAGGGTGAGTCTAAAGCTCAGAGGGTGAGTCTAAAGCTCAGAGGGTGAGTCTAAAGCTCAGAGGGTCAGTCTAAAGCTCAGAGAGTCAGTCTAAAGCTCAGAGGGTCAGTCTAAAGCTCAGAGAGTCAGTCTAAAGCTCAGAGGGTGAGTCTAAAGCTCAGAGGGTCAGTCTAAAGCTCAGAGGGTCAGTCTAAAGCTCAGAGGGTCAGTCTAAAGCTCAGAGGGTCAGTCTAAAGCTCAGAGGGTCAGTCTAAAGCTCAGAGGGTCAGTCTAAAGCTCAGAGGGTCAGTCTAAAGCTCAGAGGGTGAGTCTAAAGCTCAGAGGGTCAGTCTAAAGCTCAGAGAGTCAGTCTAAAGCTCAGAGGGTGAGTCTAAAGCTCAGAGGGTCAGTCTAAAGCTCAGAGAGTCAGTCTAAAGCTCAGAGGGTCAGTCTAAAGCTCAGAGAGTCAGTCTAAAGCTCAGAGGGTCAGTCTAAAGCTCAGAGGGTGAGTCTAAAGCTCAGAGGGTGAGTCTAAAGCTCAGAGGGTGAGTCTAAAGCTCAGAGAGTCAGTCTAAAGCTCAGAGGGTCAGTCTAAAGCTCAGAGGGTGAGTCTAAAGCTCAGAGGGTCAGTCTAAAGCTCAGAGGGTCAGTCTAAAGCTCAGAGAGTCAGTCTAAAGCTCAGAGGGTCAGTCTAAAGCTCAGAGGGTCAGTCTAAAGCTCAGAGGGTCAGTCTAAAGCTCAGAGAGTCAGTCTAAAGCTCAGAGAGTCAGTCTAAAGCTCAGAGGGTCAGTCTAAAGCTCAGAGGGTCAGTCTAAAGCTCAGAGAGTCAGTCTAAAGCTCAGAGATTCAGTCTAAAGCTCAGAGATTCAGTCTAAAGCTCAGAGGGTGAGTCTAAAGCTCAGAGGGTGAGTCTAAAGCTCAGAGAGTCAGTCTAAAGCTCAGAGGGTCAGTCTAAAGCTCAGAGATTCAGTCTAAAGCTCAGAGATTCAGTCTAAAGCTCAGAGAGTCAGTCTAAAGCTCAGAGATTCAGTCTAAAGCTCAGAGAGTCAGTCTAAAGCTCAGAGGGTCAGTCTAAAGCCCAGAGGGTCAGTCTAAAGCTCAGAGGGTCAGTCTAAAGCTCAGAGAGTCAGTCTAAAGCTCAGAGAGTCAGTCTAAAGCTCAGAGAGTGAGTCTAAAGCTCAGAGGGTCAGTCTAAAGCTCAGAGGGTCAGTCTAAAGCTCAGAGAGTCAGTCTAAAGCTCAGAGAGTCAGTCTAAAGCTCAGAGAGTGAGTCTAAAGCTCAGAGGGTGAGTCTAAAGCTCAGAGGGTTGACTCAGAGAGTCAGTCTAAAGCTTTCCCTGCTGGTATTTTAACCCGTTGTTGTTGTTGTTGTTGTGTCCTGCAGGGACGAGTGGGCCGAGGCCATCCAGACGGTCGCAGAGTCTCTGGCCAAGCAGGAGGAGGAGGGCATCCTCTGCAGCCCCTCCTCCGCCATCGAGAACGTCAACGAGGAGGAGATGGACACCTCCATCGGACACTACAAGCGGAAGGTGACCAGAAACAAGATATCGCTCAAAACAAAGACTTTCTTCAAACAAATATCAAGAGGAGATGCTCACACATTCTGTCTCATATTTAGTATCCTTTTCTTTGCGATTAAAAGCAAGCTCTTTCCTCACATGCTCCTCTGTTGTTTGTGTTTGCAGACAATGAATGACTTTGACTATCTGAAGCTTCTGGGCAAAGGCACTTTTGGGAAAGTCATTCTGGTGAGGGAGAAGGCGAGCGGCATCTACTACGCCATGAAGATCCTCAAGAAGGAAGTCATCATAGCAAAGGTCCTTTTATTATTTCACTTACCTTCGTTTTTATTTCAGTTTCATAGTTTCAACTGTTTTTTTCATTTTGCTGTATCTCCAAAGTCAAAACAAAGAAAGGGAACATGATAGAAATGCATACAATTGGAAATAAATAATCAAATAAATTGAAAGAAATAGATATATGAAAATAAATGATTAAAATATGGTCCTTTCCTGGAGAGCATGTTAATGGTCACTGGATGGAAATGTCATATTTTAGATTTGAAAGCAAATTCATCATGAATTTAAGTGTGAATATAGCAAAAATGAAAATGCATCACCTTCTGTGTTAGTCTAGAGATGTATATTTAGAAATCTCAGTAACAGATTGGTTTGAAATGGCAGGGTCCCGATGTTCACACACCTCCCTAACAATTACATCCTCCTCCTTGTGACTAAAACAAGAAAGTGTCTCCTGACTAATCTCCACGCCTCTCCTTTCCTGTTTTATCTCCCATCGCAGGATGAAGTTGCTCACACACTCACAGAAAGTAGGGTATTAAAAAACACTCGGCATCCATTCCTAACTGTGAGTATCAGCATGTCGATGAACACATTACATGAAGACACACCTGTGCTGTGCTGCTGTAAAATATGTGAATAGATATAAATAAAGAGAAGCAGGTACACATCAAAGACCTCTTGATAGATGTCGTGCACAGAAAGAAGGAGGCGCAGACCACAAAGCTTCTTTAAAAATAGAAATGTGTTTGAAACAAATGGCTGAGCAGAGTTTTAAGTGTGTGTGTGTGTGTGTGTGTTGCAGTCTCTGAAGTACTCGTTCCAGACGAAGGATCGGCTGTGCTTTGTAATGGAGTACGTCAACGGAGGAGAGGTGAGACTTCAAAGAGTCGCTTTAAAAAAATTAAAGTTTGATGCTGGCTGATGTTCCGTCTTATTTTCACATGGAAGTTATTTCAAGATTTATTGAAGAATGGTGAGGAGGGCTTCAACAGAAAGCTCTCACTCCTCTCGCTGTGGGGGAGTGTCTGCACTGTCCTGGGTTTTTAATGATGGTACAGATGTATTACTTAAAGGTGGGGTAGGTAATTCACTTCAGAAACACTTGTTGTTATATTCCATGGAATGCTCTTAACATCCCGATAGCAATGAATACATTAAATGCTTTGACAAAAAATCCATAAAAAAAAGTCATCTGTGGAAGCCGTGGCGCTGTAAAAAGCACGACCAGTCATCTGAGCCGGCTAAAGTAACTGGATGGCCTCCCTGCCTGTCAGCCTTCCATCTGGGCACAAACTGATCTCGTGCCCTCATTGGTCATGTGCGCGTTCGTGTGTGTTGGAGGAGGGGCTCTGTGAGGAAGTGGCAGATTTTTTTCGGTTGTGTATTTTCAGATTCTAGCGCGCTCGAGCTGGTTTCTCCATTCTTACCCTACCTTTAAGGAAATCACTTTAACACAGAGAGATTATTCATTTCTTATGTATTCGTCTTGTTTGGTCAAAGATTGTTTCATTTATTGGAAATGGTTTTACTGAAAATATTTGTTGCAACCTGGATTGTTGTGGGGAGAATGAAGCAAACCCATGCATTGAAATTAAATAATAATCTGAAACATCAAAAAGCATGGAGGGAGTTATAGCTGCATTGGTTAGACAGTTGCACTTCAGTAAGAAAAGTAAGAAAAGTTACAAGAATAAATAGTTATATATCTTACAGTTTTGCTCGATTGATTGCCTTAATAATTAATTAATTATTAAAATAGTAGCTACGGTCTGTCACGACCCCATTCTGAGTTGTACTGCATGTTAATAACTAGTCTTCTACCTAATGAATATACTTAAAAACAACATTTGTCTTGTGTTTGTTTGCAGCTGTTTTTCCATTTGTCAAGAGAAAGAGTTTTCTCGGAGGACCGCACCCGTTTCTACGGCGCTGAGATCGTCTCTGCTCTAGATTACCTTCATTCTGCAAAGATCGTCTATCGGGATCTGAAGGTAAACTTCACCCGAGAGGAATCTAACGTTTATCACCTGGTTCTACAAATACAAGAAGTTGATGTTCTGGTGGTTGTAGGACGCTCGATGGACCACATTAAACAATTCGTAGCTTTTACCTTTTCTATGTGATTTAGGTTTCTTTCTGTTTTGGTTTCTGCTTCACAATTACAATTTGAAATGAATCATAATCAACACTTGAGTTTACAGCTCTGAGTTTAACATTCAACATTGAGAAACAAGTCCAGATTGGTCTTGTCAGATCAAATCGAGGGTCATGTTTTTAATGTCTGTTGTCCTCCTCACCAGCTGGAGAACCTCATGTTGGACAAAGACGGCCACATCAAGATCACAGACTTCGGCCTGTGCAAAGAAGGCATCACCGACACTGCCACCATGAAGACCTTCTGTGGGACCCCAGAGTACCTGGCCCCTGAGGTCAGAGGTCACACTCACACAGAACTACATACACTCAAACTCACACAGAACTACATACATTCAAACTCACACAGAACTAGATACACTCACACACAACTAGATACATTCAAACTCACACACAACTAGATACATTCACACTCACACACAACTAGATACATTCACACTCACACACAACTAGATACATTCACACTCACACACATCTATATACATTCCCTTGTCTCCCTCCCCTAATAGATGTTTAAAAACTAGTGGCTTTAAATGGTCGGAAAGCATCAGTCTACACATTGGTTTTAAATAAGATATATATCACACACACACACACACACATACCATGTATGCATCACTTCAGGGGACATTACATTGACTTACATGCATTTCCTGGAGACTTATCCTAACCTTAACCATAACCAACACATGCCTAACCCTAACCCTTAACCTTAACCTTACCCTAACCAAGTCTTCGCCCAAAAATGTATGATTCCCCTCATGGGGACCCGCGAGTCCCCACACGTGACTGTGTAATAAGATGTAGGTCCCCACAAGGATAGTAATGCTAGGTCACACACACACACACACACACACACACACACACACACACACACACACACACACACACACACACACACAGGGAGGGATAATAGTACACAAAATCTGATTCAAATAAGTTTATTTAATTAGCTGAAGGAATTGAGAAAACATACAATAATGGAGTTGAAGATATTTTATCCTAATAGCATTCCTTGTTTATTTTATATTATTATTTGTTTTAGATATTTTTTTACAGATATCCCAAACTATTGTGAGTTATTTTGGTGTGGATAATAGTGTTGTGAAAAATGGAATTTGAAACTATCCCACAACTTTATATAAAATCCCAAACTGAGTCTCGCTGTCGTGTGTTTTGGTCGCGTGTTGTTTTTCATTCAGCCACAACCACCGGGAGTCTCATTTGTGGAAGTACCGTCACGTGTATTTCCTCTAATGGCAGCTTAATGTTTATTTACAACAGAGCAGGATGTCAGGGCCTTATTTCACTTCTTCTAATGTGGTCCTCGTGGAGATCTTGAAAGTGATTTTCACATTCTGAGGATTGGAAAGCAGATATCAGAGCAGTTAAGGTCACCAAATAACTACATGGCCTCTTCCGTTATTAATATTCGATTCTGTTCAAAAGTTTGAGATCTCCTGCCGCAAAATCTTAATTCGGTCCAGTGAGATGTCTAACAGGACTTCTCTATATTTCTAAATGGCTTCATTCTTTTGGTTGTAGAAGGTCCTCTTGTCCAATAAATGTTATTTTGTATCAAGGAATTGCAATGCTTCAAACAGACTGTAATTTGAAAGGACAGAAAGACAAATATATATTTAGCAACAGTTCTATAATAATACAAACAAATCTGCAGATTTTGGTTTAAAGAAAATTGAAGTTCAGTATCAAAATGTGTACGCATTTAAATAGGAACCGGTTCTTGTTTCAGTGTCATGTGCAATAACGCATCCAACAAGCTGGAATTAACAATATAAACAAAAGGTTAGTCCAGGGTTGCGGTCGAATAGTCCAAAAATCAGCTCCTAACGTCTATCCCTTGACCTCTGTGTGAAACGTCACGTCTTAGAAAGATTTTGATAAATTAGTGTCAAATGATTTTTTACCACTATTAAAAATGCCATTGATCAATATAAGAGCTGATTACAAACTTCTGAACTCTGTCAATGAAAGTGTTTTTTGTTGCTTCCATTTTGCTTTTAATAGAAAACATTGTGGTTCAATCCGTCCCATGTGGTGTGTTCAGGTGCTGGAGGACAACGACTACGGCCGGGCGGTGGACTGGTGGGGTCTGGGTGTGGTGACGTACGAGATGATGTGCGGCCGCCTGCCGTTCTACAACCAGGACCACGAGAAGCTGTTCGAGCTCATCCTCATGGAGGAGATCAAGTTCCCCAGAACTCTGTCTGCAGACGCCAAGTCGCTGCTGTCAGGGCTGCTCATCAAGGACCCCAACAAACGGTACACACACACACACACACACACACACACACACACACACACACCGCTGCTGTCAGGGCTGCTCATCAAGGACCCCAACAAACAGTACACACACACACACACACACACACACACACCACTGCTGTCAGGGCTGCTCATCAAGGACCCCAACAAACAGTACACACACACACCCACACACACACACCACTGCTGTCAGGGCTGCTCATCAAGGACCCCAACAAACGATACACACATACACACACACACACACCGATGCTGTCAGGGCTGCTCATCAAGGACCCCAACAAACGGTACACACACACACACACACACACACACACACACACACACACACACACACACACACACACATACAGATACACACAGACGCACATGCACAGACACGCACACGTACACACACATACAGATATACACACACATGCATATTGTGGAGTTAAACACACACCATCTCCTGGCTTTCACAGTAAAGGGAGAAAATATGGCGCTATGCAGAGAAATATCACTCAAGAAATCAACCTTACTTTATTTGTATTTCACTTTTCCTACAAAAAAGGTAACAAGAAAGTGCATCACACACCAATATATTAGGTTACTTTTTGAACATAATGATATTGATGTAATTTGAACATTGAACTGAACAAAACAGACACAAAATCAATCAATCAATCAATCAATGTTTATTTATATAGCCCAATATCACAAATGTTACATTTGTCTCAGTGGACTTTACAGTTTGTACAAAATATCATTATGACAATACGACACCCTCTGTCCTTAGACCCTCTGTCCTTAGACCTTCTGTCCTTAGACCCTCTGTCCTTAGACCCTCACATCGTACAAGGAAAAACTTCCGAAGAAAACCCACAGTTTAAAGGGAACATGGGAGAAACCTCAGGGAGAGCAACAGAGGAGGGATCCCTCTCCCAGGACGGACAGACGTGCAATAGATGCCGTGTGTAAATTGAAAAGATAATACATTTGCAACATAGGTAGTCCAAATGTTTGGAAATGCATGTGTGTATAATAGGAAGATGAATCCACGAGGATATCCATCCAGGACCTATGATCCAGGACCACAGCCACGACTCAAGATCCAGGGCTCGCGATCCAGGACAGAGGAGCGCAGGATCATCCATGACTCCGGATCCCGGCGTATATAGACACCAAAAAGAAAGAAATTTGGGGAAGCTGGGTTAATGGGAACATGAGAGTACACAGGTATAGACAGAGAGAAGGAAGAAGTAAGATGTCCCCCGACAAACTAAGCCTATATCAGCAAAACTAGGGGCTGAATCTAATCAGCCCTAACTATAAGCTTTATCAAAAAGGAAGGTCTTAAGCGCACTCTTAAAAACGGATAGGGTGTCTGCCGCCCGAACACAAACTGGAAGCTGATTCCACAAATGTGGAGCTTGATAAGAAAAGGCTCACTACAAAAGAAGTAATAACTAAATGTTTAAAACAAGTGGCTATAAATTGTCCTAAAGCATCAGTCTACACATTGGTTTTAAATAAGTAAGATATATTTAACACACACACACACACACACACACACACACACACACACACACACAGGGAGGGATAATAGTACAAAACCAGCACTTTAAGGTTTAGCACCAAAAAAAACATTGACCGCTCACGCCCCAGTTTCTTATCCACAGAATAAAATATACATTTGGTTTTATTTCCCAGAATTCAGCAGTTAATTCCCGTTTAAACCTCCACCTCATCGTTATCAGAGAACAGTCCTCCTCGTGATAACTGGTGTTCAGTAAAGTGCCGTTTCACAGATCTGCTGCTGCTAATTTCCCTCTCTGATTGTCCCGGAGGCGTCTCTGCCTCTAATGAAGAAACAGCTTCGCGGCGAACTCGCTCACCCGGCAGTTATTTTGGGATGCGTAGCAGGTGGATATTCTGAGTCCATTGATGGAGACTTTGTTGGAGCAGGTTTTGATGTGTTCTTCTCTGTGTTCTGACAGGCTGGGCGGCGGGCCGGATGACGCGAAGGAGATCATGAGACACAGCTACTTCAATGCAGTCGACTGGCAGGACGTCTACGACAAGAAGGTGAGAGCAGGAGACAGCGGAGAGTTATTCTAAAACTGCCTCCCTGAGATATTCTGGGATCAGGGTTACCTCATTATTCAAAAAAAGCCTGGCTGTTAAAAGCATTAACTCCAGAATAGAAAAACAATTACCTCATCTTTACGCAGGTAGAAGAACAATAAGCAGTCCAAACAATCCTCTAAAAAAAATGTCTTCGTTTAACAAGGAATGCAGCGTCTACCGATATTAAATAAAACAAACCTTATGTATCCTTTCATTGCATCGTGTTTTTATTTGTGTGTATGTTTTATGCATACTTGTATTTAATGTAAAGTTTCTTTTTGAAATTATAATAGAACAATATCAATTAAATGTATACTTTTTTAGCTTGATTTTTTTAAAGAATCCACCTGATTGATTGGTTTGGCGTTCAGTCGATTAGTAACTGGTTAGTTAAAGTCCTGCATTCAAAATAAAAAAAACCTAAAGAACCTACTTTTGTATAAGTAAAAAAGTATACTTAAAGTACCAGATATACAATTACTCGTTATGCAGGACGGCGCAGTTAATAATTAATAATCACAAACTATAAAGCTGGGAAAATGTCAAATATATTTATAGATGTTTGGGAATAATTCCCATAGATGTTTACCTTTTGCCCTCTGACGTTTATGACCAGCCTTGGCATCTGTTATCTCCCTTAAGAGGCCATGTGTTGTTGTCGCCAGTTTATGACCGGGCATCTTTGGGTCAAACATAGTTCATTGTTATGGGGACATATGGAACGCTTCCTTCTCGGGGTTTGATGTCTCCAAGGTTGGAAATCTTCGAGGCCATTAGGCGTCAGTTGCAAGTAATTCAGTGTCCTCAGCTGTTTAGTCTATCTAGTGAAGAATGTGGATTACCTAACATCATGTAGGCGCTTTCACACCACAGTACTTTTCCCACAAAGGTTCATCAGAACTCTTTAGTTCTCATCAGGGGCGGCGCCAGGGGGTAGCTTGGAGTTGCTATAGCAACTCCAACAATTGGCCTAGCAATGGCTTAGCAACCCCATTGTTTTGTTATGAAAATGTATCTATATATATTTATACACATTCTCGCGAGATCTATCAGGGGTCGTTGTAAGTTAAAGCACAAACTGTTACTTGGCTAATGTTGTTATAATTCTTAGTATGTGAACACAGATCGAAAATGGAAAGATTTCTAACAAGTAAGCGTAAAAGAAAGAGATATAAAATGAAATGTGTGTGTGTGTGTGTGTGTGTGTGTGTGTGTGTGGTGTGTGTGTGTTGTGTGTGTGTGTGTGTGTGTGTGTGTGTGTGTGTGTGTGTGTGGTGTGTGTGTGTGTGTGTGTGTGTGTGGTGTGTGTGTGTGTGTGTGTGTGTGTGTGTGTGTGTGTGTGTGTGTGTGTGTGTGTGTGTGGTGTGTGTGATGTGTGTGTGTGTGTGTGTGTGTGTGGTGTGTGTGTGTGTGTGTGTGTGTGTGTGTGTGTGTGTGTGTGTGTGTGTGTGTGTGTGTGTGTGTGTGTGTGTGCTGTGTGTGTGTGTGTGTGTGTGTGTGTGTGTGTGTGTGTGTGTGTGTGTGTGTGTGTAAGCAAAGCTGAGTGCAGGATTTGTAAAATGAAAATAACCTTCAGAGCAGGAGAAGTTCAGATCTTGTACTTGAGTAAAAGTACCAGAGTGTAGGAATACTCGGTTACAATAAAAAGTCCTGAATTCAAAATGTTACAATTAAAAGTACAAAAGTATTAGCATCAAAACATAGTTAAAGTACCACCTGCAGAGGGACCTAGATTCAGGTGTTCTTTATAGAGACGCCACGCTGCACATTATCCCTTGCATAAAGATAGATTGTGGGTCCCTTATAACATGTTGTCCACAGTGGAAATAAACATTCTGGTCACCTCAACATCAGGGATCTTATAAATTAAACTCCTTCTGAATCAAACCGTCACGGTAGCCTTACCTTACTGATCCCTCTCAAAATAGAAAAACACACGTTACTTTACCAGCAGAGAGAAAATGGATTATTAAATTATTAATGTGACTAATAAAGAGCAGTTTGATTATTAAGTATTATTCTGTTGATCGATGTCATTACATTTGTTGAAAAGCACATAATGACTTGTTTAAGACTCGTTTTGTCAAAGTTTAGGACTGGACTTGACTTGAACTTGCCCATCCTGACTTGGACTTGAGCGCAAAGACTTGAGACTTGACTCGGACTTGCAAAACAATGACTTGGTCCCACCTCTGTTGATTGGTTCTGTAAGGTGTGGCTGTGGCCGTCAATACCAGAAAATAAAGAGAACGTTTTCGACTTTGAAGGCTCGAGTGATCTGTGATTTTGAATAGCGGTGAACGCTACAATATGAACAGGCTCGTGCTTGGCCCACTGGTATTGTTTGTTTATTTATTTTTGAAATTTAACTAGCAACGCCGTGCTGTCATATAGCAACTGCTAAGCTACTGCAGCAAAAAAATCCTGGTGCCGCCAATGGTTCTCATGAACTAAGTACAGATCGCGTTCACACCGGAATAAGTCCCTGGGGAAGGATTAGGCAAATGAAGCCGCTGACGTCACTTCTTCTTCTTCTGCTTTGGGTTTACTAGCAGGCCGCAAACAACTTCACGGCGTATACTGCCGCCCAAAGTCCCCGGCCGGAAGTCCCCGGAGTTGGCTTCCCCAGCCTTCCGAGTAAATCGCCAGAACGCCGACACCTCCTCATCACTCCACCGCTCCGATGTTTTCTTTTGTGTTGCCATAAGTTAGTCTCTCTGCGTTGGTGCGCTGGGCTAATGCTAATAATGCTAATGCGAGGATAATAAAATGGCTTCACAAAACTTTGGGTTTTAAGGGGCGTGGTTTGCAATCCGCCCAGCCAATCAGAAATAGGAACCTTTTTCTCCCACAAAAGTCCCTGCTCTCTAGCAGGGACTGAAAAGAGGGTGAAAAGGTTCTCATTAACTAAATTTAGTTCCGGATATTTTTTGGTGTGAACGCAACATTTCGGAACTATATCGGAACTAAAGTGGGAAAAGTACTGCGGTGTGAACGCGCCTATGTGAGAGGAAGGTTTCTTCAGAATTGATTGTGTCAACTCGTGGCTCTATGACCTGTCTTGTGAATTCTCCAGCTCTCCTCGTGTCTCTCTGAGTCCTGACTCTCCATTGCTTCAGAAGTTTCCCCCACAATATAGATTATTTGTTTTTGTTTTGCAACTACCGTCAGGATTGCTTTGGCGACACATGCCATTAAAGCCTTTTGAATTGAATGTAGTTTAATAAATGTATTGATTAACAATTCCATGTATTTTTGTATCCTCACACAGCAAACTCAGCTTTAATAACTGTCTCTTTCTTCCTGTCTCCTTCTACTTCCTGTCTCCGTCTACTTCCTGTCTCCTTCTACTTCCTGTCTGGTTGCAGCTGGTCCCTCCTTTCCAGCCGCAGGTCAGCTCAGAGACGGACACACGCTACTTCGACGAGGAGTTCACAGCACAGACCATCACCATCACTCCGCCGGAGAAATGTAAGGTCCTCCTTCTACCTGAACATATTTGGCTTTCAACATTTGCAGAAAATGTAGTTATGAATAACCGGTAGAACAGTCGTTATACACCAACTGCAAAACTATTAAGGTGTATCATCTATGAAGGAAACTGGTGTGCAGTAGATCATGGTTTTGTCAGTCTGAAAGTGAGCTAAAATGATAAATGTGTACCTGTCATTAAAATACAACGTAGCAGAAACGCTCAATGGACACCAGTTAAGACAGACCTTTGCCTTGACTAGGATTTATTTTAAGCTTCACAAAAAAAGGATGTCTGTCTGTCTGTACCCCAAAACAACTACCATCAGCGACTTCAATCCAAAATATTGGTAATCATTATTATAAATCAGTGGCTCAGTCAGTAGGGGCTTGGACTGTGAGCCGTAGGGTCGCCGGTTCAAGTCCCCGAACAGACCTAAATATGGATCGTGGACTGCTACTTGGAGCGCTCCGGGCGCTGTACAATAGCTGCCCACTGCTCCTAGTACTAAACTCCCCTAAATCATGAATATACATGTTTTGTGTTCATGTCTGTCTGAACCAGATATCACAGATGTGGGCTGTAATAGAAACATATTATACTCACTTTAATAATGTCATTGTGTGATTCTTATTTGCTAATGTTTATCTATATTTACTACTTCTCACTTGACTTGTGAACATCAGACAATAGAGATCCATCCAATCAAGATATTGCCAAAAACAAAGCCCTAATCACATGACACAGACACACATGGTAAAATAGATAGACTGTACTTATCTATGTATATATATTATCAGGTCTGTTTGACCCCTTACAGCGCTTTACATAATACGAGTCATTCACCCATTCACACCTCATTCTTACAGAGCAGTGCACCTTGCTCTAGGGAAGCTAACAGACACACACACACTGTTGGCCATCAAACCAACAACCTTCTGGTTTAAAGATGCCCACACACACACATGTTATATGTTCTCCTCTGACTCTCCTCCCTCTGTCTCTCCTGCAGACGATGAGGACGGGATGGACGCGGCGGACAACGAGCGGAGGCCTCACTTCCCACAGTTCTCGTACTCAGCCAGCGGGCGGGAGTGAGCCGCCGTCATCCCCATCCGTGGCCATTTTTGAGGAAAACACGTAGCCATTTTAGGAAAAAAAAAATACCAGTCTCCCCTCTTTTTCTCCTGCTCTGCCTCCTCACAGACGGGGAGGAGTCTTTTTAGGGACTTTAAAAAGAGGTTTTTGCACAGTGGGATAGACTCCAGCCGGTCTCCCCACACTAAAAAAAAATAAGTCTCCTACATTTTCAGCGCTATTTACTGCAGAAGGCAATGTTTTTGTTATTTATTTTTTCTCTCCGTCAGTATTAAGTTGTCGACCCGGGTCATCTTTTGGTTGTTTCTGCCCTTATTTTCTTAAAATCTTCTTTTGACTTTTTTGCACTTGGTTTGGAAGAGCCGTTTTAGGGAACAAAAAACCAAAAATGTTGCCTTACGTGTGCAGATGTTTCGTATCATACCGACAGGGTGTTTTGTTTAGTTTTTCGGGGAGAGGGCGGGCGGGGTTTCGGGGGTTGTGAGAGGGGAGGGGGGGGGGGGTTATTCTTAGTTGAGAATAAGTGCATGGCTCGTGGTTCACTCAAAAAAAATGTTTCTTTCTCATGCATTTGCCATGGCAGCGCACATTCCCCCAAATCCCATGGCAATGAAATCACTGTCTGCAGATAAACTTAAAAACAAAAGGACGAGGACGGACGAGTCTGTGTCATTCCTTTCATCGTTGCAGTGTTACTACTTTCGTATTTTTTCAGCCCCATGTGTTTTTTTTGCGCTTTTACTTCCAAGTTTGTTCTTTTATTTTGAAAACAGGAAACACTAAACTGCCAGAAACTGCACAGTTCACTCAGGCGCCACAGAGCACAACCGCGTTCAAACTCAGCTAACCGCTCCAGCTTTCCACAGCCGGCAGGGGAACGAGGCCTTCTCTGCTTTCTCACCGCTTCTCCTCTTCTTCCTCCTCCTCCTCTTCCACCTCCTCCTCTTCTTCACCTCCGCTCTTTGTTTCCTCATCTTAGCTGTAGGACTAGTGGAATGGGTGTTTACACAGGGAAATGTGGCTTAATGTATGTATGTAATGTATGTGGGACATGGGGGTCAACTTTATGCTGTCATAGCACACACACACACACATATATATTTACACTCAGAAACAGGAAACAGCTGTGACTGAAGTTGGCAGTTTACTCCGAACAAAAGCTAATTTGGCGTTTTCTGAAATGAACGGCATATCAGATCACTCAATGCAACTTAAGGCGTGTGTTTAAAAACATATTTTAGACGAAGCTGGAGTTTGCAAGTTGCTTCAAGACGACGCTCTCTGATAATGTGGTGATCCACAGCCAGGTTTCCATACAAATGCATTCGTACATTTTGCTGAATTTAGAGTAAAATGTGCCCGTTCCCAATACACTACCGTTATGCGATTTATGGGAAGTTTGGTTCGTAGCGATCAGCAGTAGGTGGTGCCAATTCCTCATTCAGAAAACCATTATAGCATTGTGGAAGAAGAGGATGCAACAAGATGACGTGATTTAAAACATCGGTCAGTGTCAGGCTCACTGACAATTAGCATTTCCTGTGTTTCCGACTCCAAAAGAAAACTTGTTTTGCCAGTTAAAGGCTTTTATTGAGAAGCTGCAGCGCTGGGAAACGTTCAGTTTGCATTAGATGGTACTCTTTGGGGAATGTTGCCACAGACACCAAGTTTGTTATCTTGCAAATGTAAAAAATACTACAATACTTTAATCAGTAGGCTTAATCACTATTTGAATGCCTCTTATGGTGATAGCGACTTCACAGACATTTATTTAAATGGAAATCTTTTAAATTGAGACTTTAATCTGCTTCAGTTAAATGTTAGAGCGGCAGCGGCTCATCCAGCTTCATGTCAACTACAACCGATGGTAGTTTAGAAACACATCCAGGCATTATTAGCTCCAACCTAGAGAGTCCTGCCCTCTAGTGGTTTGGTCTAACTCTCATGTTGCTGTTAAACTCCTGCATTTCACCACAGGGATTCATTTCATTTCATTTCAAACCTTTATTTAACCATATTGGTCCCATTGAGATCATAGATCTATTTTTCAAGGGAGACCTGCAGCATATAGGTTCCACATACATAAAACAATAAAGGATATCATACATTATGAGGACATCATACATTATAAAAGGCACTTCTTATCTTATTTCTTAGTGGTTTGAGAGAAAGACAAGAAGACCCTTCGCTGAAGAGTAGCGAAACATCTTTTAGTTTTTCAAAAGAAAGATAATTAAAACGAGGTTATTTTTCATGCCAAATGAGCAGAAAATGCCGTTTCAGCCTCAGAGATGGAGATGTCCTGCTCTTCTCTGTTTTATATCACATTAAAGTGAACATCTATGGCTTTTGGATTGAATAAACAAGACATTTAAAGACATCATCTTGGACTTTGAGAAACTGGGATGGACAGTTTTCACAATTTTCTGACGTTTTAGAAAGCAAACGATCAATCTAGACAACAATTAGCCGATTAACCCATAAAGTCAATAATCACAGCCTTAAAGGTGGGGTAGGTACGTTTGAGAAACCGGCTCGAGATACACTTTGTGTTATATTCCATGGAATGCTCTTAACATCCCGATAGCAATGAATATCTTCAGTGCTTTGACAACAAATCCATTAAAAAATGTCATCAGTGGAAGCCGTGGCGCTGTAAAAAGCACGACCAATCATCTGAGCCGGCCCGGCTAAAGTAACTGGATGGCCTACCTGCCTGTCAGCCTTCCATCGGGGCACAAACTGATCTCGTGCCCTCATTGGTCATGTGCGCGTTCGTGTGTGTTGGAGGAGGGGCTCTGTGAGGAAGTGGCAGATTCTTTCCGGTTGTGTATTTTCAAACTCCAGCGCGCTCGAGCTGGTTTCTCAAATCACCTACCCCACCTTTAGATCTGAACCAAAACAAGCTGTATATCAAAACTGAATCTGACGTTTCGGTTGAGTATTGATAATTCACATTGAAAGAAAAGAAAAACACATCAAAGTGAATTTGTTTTGGAGAAAACTGTCCACTTAATATAATCTGCTGCTCACACTCTTCAGGGTTCCTGCACACTTTCAGAAAGGTTCATTCAGAGGAGGAGATTTGGGGGGTTTCCAGGTCTTTAAACGCTGTTTGTAATTGCTGAAGTTATTGGAAATAATTGTTTTCTTGACGTCCATGTGTACAAGTGATGAGACAAATGACTGTGAAACATATCGAACAGCGAGGGAAGTTCTACTGGTTTTTTATTGTGTGTGAACAATTTGGATCTGTATTGGAAGTGTGTAGGAACCCTGGCAACACACACATCATTCATACTCACACACTGATAACAAAGAGACTGTTTTTAGACGATAGATCAGTGAAGAAAATGTAATTTATCACACGGACACTAACATAATCGTGGCTTCCAGATGCAGGCCTTCTGTCCTGTCAGTATGAGATACATTTATACACACACACGTTTTTAAACCTAAAATGGTATCAATAAATCACTTATCATGTCACGAGAAAAACTGAGCCGTGAGACACTCCTGTATGAAGACTGTGAGGACTGCCAGAAAAAAGTCGCCCCAAAACTCCTCGATGTAAATATGCAATGCCTTTTTTCTTTCTTGGGTCTATCGTGGCATCTTAACAGACATAAAACATTTGTTTCTGTGTGACTGTACTTCAAGCTTGCTGATGAGAATAGTGACCGAAAAAAACAACAACAACCACGACTCAAAAAACTGCATTTAAGAGAAAAAGAGGAGGAAAAGACAGTGTCGAAGACTGGGACCCTTCTGCTGATTTTTTGTGGGTCGGTAATATTCAGTATGGGATGTTTCCCGCCTGTTGACTCCTGACTTCCTGTGAGAGGACGTGACTGTAACTGTGGAGTCTGCACTGTCGTTTCTGTCCCCTCTTTAAAAACTAAAAAAAATACAAAAAAGTGGGACCATGGATTACATTTTTATTTATTTTTCGCAGTGCTGGTTTCATCAGGTTGTTCCAATCCCATCATTCCCCCCCCCCAACCCAGCCCCTCTTTTTGTACCATAGTATTTGTTTTATTTATGTTTGTCATTCTAGGCAGTGTTACCTTGTATGTCGTTAAAAAAGGCACCTCTTGAAAGTCGCTGAAGGATGATGATGATGGATGCATTAACTGAAGTCTTTTCTTTTTTTTTTGGATCGTTTGCTTGTTTGTTTTCTTACCAAAACATTAGGGCAAGAACCCAGTAGTGGACTTGCGTTGCCGTGGTAGTATTTATTTTGAATTAAATTAAAAAGAAATACATTTCAGGGTTTCTGCTGTCGTGACTCTTTATTTCAGCTGGATTTATTCCGTGTAATTGTGTTTTTTTCTTTCCTTCATATAAAAAAAAAGTTAAATTATAGTTTAATTAAAGAGGCCCTATGATGCTTTTTGAGGTTTACCTTTTCCTGTAGTGTGTCTGCAAAGGCTCACATCCTTGTGTTCCCTCCAGTTTCAGCACCGGCTGTAGAGACACTACATACTGATATACACCTGAACATCAGCAGGAGAGGACTCTTTAAAGTAGAGACACTACATACTGATATACACCTGAACATCAGCAGGAGAGGACTCTTAAAGTAGAGGCACTACATACTGATATACACCTGAACATCAGCAGGAGAGGACTCTTTAAAGTAGAGACACTACATACTGATATACACCTGAACATCAGCAGGAGAGGACTCTTTAAAGTAGAGACACTACATACTGATATACACCTGAACATCAGCAGGAGAGGACTCTTTAAAGTAGAGACACGACTTACTGATATACACCTGAACATCAGCAGGAGAGGACTCTTTAAAGTAGAGGCACTACATAACTGATATACACCTGAACATCAGCAGGAGAGGACTCTTTAAAGTAGAGACACATACATACTGATATACACCTGAACATCAGCAGGAGAGGACTCTTTAAAGTAGAGACACTACATACTGATATACACCTGAACATCAGCAGGAGAGGACTCTTTAAAGTAGAGACACTACATACTGATATACACCTGAACATCAGCAGGAGAGGACTCTTTAAAGTAGAGACACGACATACTGATATACACCTGAACATCAGCAGGAGAGAACTCTTTAAAGTAGAGACATGACATACTGATATACACCTGAACATCAGCAGGAGAGGACTCTTTAAAGTAGAGACACTACGTACTGATATACACCTGAAGTCTGCGGGCTGACTTCGGAGGGGCTGCTATCAAATTGCCCATTTTACACCTTTTCTAACTGCATTGATGAAATAGGCTTGTTCATCATTAAAAACTATTTATCTATCTAGATTCATGGATCATTACACCCCCTTATTTTGAAGGTTTTAGAAATATTTTGTGGAAATATCAAGAATGTTGCTTTTTACAGTACTACGGCTTCCACAGATGACATTTTTTAATGGATTTGTTGTCAAAGCACTTCAGATATTCATTGCTATCGGGATGTTAAGAGCATTCCATGGGATATAACAAAAAGTGTATCTCGAGCCGGTTTCTCAAACTTACCTACCCCACCTTTAATGATACGACGTGCTGTTACGCAACAATTATGGTTTGATTTCCCCCCTCAGTTTCTGATAAGAGATGTTTCCTCTGTGATGCAGTCGTTATAAGATCTCAAGTTAAGATAGATCAAACTCAAGAGTACAGCAAATAAAACTGGAGACGACACCATGGGATCAAAATACAATCTGGCATTTAATGCAGGTTTTACAGGACTGCTATCAAGGCTTTACACTTACAGTCTTGTTACAGAAAACAATCACAACAGAGAAACTAGGGCTGGGTGAAATAACCCTGTACCAGGTAGTAATAAAACCTGTCCACACCTGTGTTCAATGTGCTTGAAACTCACATGATGGGTATCGAATAAAGTACAAATAAAAAGGAATCAAATAAAGAACTCTGTGTTACTTTCAGGGTGCTGGCGTTTTCTTTGATAGAACTAAAGAAGCAGTCCCTGGAGTTTTGATGAAAATGCAGCTGGTGGTGTGACTGCTTCCTCTTCACCTCTCAAACAGGTGTTCAGTCTCACTCTCTGGGGATGTTTCGTGGTGCGTTCAGGGACAACGGTTCCACTCAGAAACAGAATTGGTCCGTTCTCACAGATCAGAACCAGGACTTTCACTCTGGGATAGACGGAGGCCAGTCCACATCCACAGACTGAGGAACACACACACACACACACACACACACACACACACACACACACACACACACACACACACACACACACACACACACACACACACACACACACACACACACACCACACACACACACACACACACACACACACACACACACCACACACACACACACACACACACACACACACACACACACACACACACACACACACACAACACACACACACACACACACACACACACACACACACACACACACACACACACACACACAGGTAGGGGTCAACAAAGAGTACATTTGGCTAAATAAAGGCTCATAAATTGATGATCGTTTAAATGCATGATATCATATTTTATGCCACCAGGGTTTCTGAATCATAACATTAACAAAGGTCGTTTTTGTTGTGTATGATTTTCATCTTCTAGTATTACTTCAGTGTTCAGGAGCGCTGTATTATCCACTTTTCCTCTCCAAAACAAAACTAACTAAATAAAATCAGTAAAAACGTAACAAAGCAGTTTCAGGTTAATCTTAATCAGACCCGGCGTCATGGGCGGGCCCCAGGATTTGGGCCCGCTGTTTTAATCAGGGCTGAATACAACATTTTAATTGTTTTATTATTATGTTTATTGTTGTTATTTGTAGGGCTTTCTCCTAATATTTATTTTTGTTTTAAACTATGTTGAAAGATTAGTTTAATATCATTTTTTTATTTTGCTATGAAATTCTGAATGAAAGGCGAGACTGTTTTTTCACTGGGTTGAGTCGTGTGGGTTTTTGAGTGAGAGCAGCCTGTCAGTTTACTCTATAGGTTAGTTTGGCTATTATCATTTATATTTATCTGCAACAATGGATATCGGGAAGTGGTTCATGAAAGGAATATGGCAACTCAGCGCCAGATGCACATTAGAAGACATCAGTTACGTTACCAACGAGCTAGCAAGCCAGCCAGGGACAAGGGAGGCTGGCAATTATATTTTGAAGAGAAATTGACTCTCAAGCCGGCTCTCTCTCAAACTGCTCTGTGTGCAAGCAGACCGCTGCACACGCTCTCTGCCTCGCTCAATCTCTCTCTCTCCCTTTCTCTCCATCGCTCAACCTTACTCCACCCTGTGTGTGCTCCTCAAGTTTGCCTGCGTGCTTGCCCAAGTCGGCACAGCGTTACAAATGTGCCACAACCAATGGATGTAGCCTATAATAAGACCGTCAACAGCCTTATGGCAACCTAAAACCCCTCTCTTTCCGTAACAACAATTCACGAGCGCCTCCCTCACCCCGTTGACAAATCTCGAGCGTCTAACAGCCCCCCCGTTGACAATTCAGATTTCCCGGGAAATGTAAGTTTCGGGGTGGTCCCTGGTAAATCAAATGCCCGCCCAGAGACGTATGTCTGCCGCCGGGTCTGATCTTAACGAGCTTCCACATATTCTACACATTTCTCTGATCATTTGAAATCCAGACGTCAATTAAGGTCTCATCTCAAGAACAAATGGATCTTGTAATCAAACCGGTAGAACAATAATAAAGGCAGTTTCACTTTAAAAATCTGTGTTTTTCTAATGCATTTCAGCCGCCACTCAAGATCTAAACGCATGATGACTACAATTCTTCATGGGGTAAAAATATTTAGTTAAAATAATCCAAAATCTAATAAGAAGTGGCTAAAAGGTACATTTAAAACTGGGACTTTTCAGACATTTTAATTCTGAAACGTTGAATAAGATCACAGATAAAGATTCATTCAGAGAAATAGCTCTAAATATATAAAGAGACACTCTACTGCTGTTCTTTCAATTGCATTTATATATGATTTCACCTTTCTGAATAATCTCATTGTGTTTCATTGTTGGAGGAGCTCGGGTCAAACGATTTTCATTGCCATTTCTTCACTGTAACTTATGTGCATATGATGTTAAAACCTTTTAATCTAGAATTAGTTTCCCCTCACCTCCACGTCGAGCTCCAGGATGTCCGTGTCTGTTTTCAGCAGCTCACAGAGGTTCGGTTTGGTGCGGCCGAAGTCTCCGTGGACGAACTCTTTGATGTAACTGAGCGGACGTTCAGGAGCATTACGTCAACAAACAATCAGAAAACGTTGATTAAAAATGTACTTTCCCTAAAGGAGGTTTAATGATCTGTAATCTCCAGAATTTAGGGAATATGTGCAGAAGTATACGACCATAATCATGTACAGAAGGAAACAACGGAACATTCTCGTATTGTCCTGATCCTTTGAGTGGAGGAACACTGTGTGGTGTGAGGATACGTGCCGGCCTGCGTCTTCATCTCCAGGTAGAAGTGATGCGAGTCCAGGAAGCGAGTCTTCATGCTGTGAACGACTCGAGGACGGACTGCCAGCGCCCGCCGGTGCAAAACCCTCAGAGGAGTCTTCTGATCCAGAGTCAGATCCTGGAGGGAACAACAACAACAACGTCAGATAATTGTATGTTTCAAAATTCATACAGTCAGTTTATTCCTGCAGCAGCTCTGGAACTCACTCTGTCCTCTTTCAGGTCTCACCTTTTCAGAACCGTTTTTAATCTGTAATTATTCTGTGTTTTTGTATATTTTAAGTTTTTTATGTTGTTTTTATGAATTTTAGCATATAAAGTGTCTGAGTACCATGATAAGCACTATATAAATAGAATAGATAGAGATAGAATAGAATATGGAGGGATGAAACCCTCTTTAATGGTCTCACATGCAGAGCACACAGTGAAATGTGTTCTCTGCATTTAACCGATCCTAGTACCAGGAGTCTAGTACCAGGAGTCTAGTACCAGGAGTCTAGTACCAGGAGTTTAGTACTAGACTCCTAGTACCAGGAGTCTAGTGCCAGGAGTCTAGTGCCAGGAGTCTAGTACCAGGAGTCTAGTACTAGGAGTCTAGTACCAGGAGTCTAGTACCAGGAGTCTAGTGCCAGGAGTCTAGTACCAGGAGTCTAGTGCTAGGAGTCTAGTGCCAGGAGTCTAGTACTAGGAGTCTAGTACCAGGAGTCTAGTGCCAGGAGTCTAGTACCAGGAGTCTAGTACTAGGAGTCTAGTGCCAGGAGTCTAGTACCAGGAGTCTAGTGCCAGGAGTCTAGTACCAGGAGTCTAGTACTAGGAGTCTAGTGCCAGGAGTCTAGTGCCAGGAGTCTAGTGCCAGGAGTCTAGTACTAGGAGTCTAGTGCCAGGAGTCTAGTGCCAGGAGTCTAGTGCCAGGAGTCTAGTACTAGGAGTCTAGTGCCAGGAGTCTAGTGCCAGGAGTCTAGTACCAGGGAGTCTAGTACTAGGAGTCTAGTGCCAGGAGTCTAGTGCCAGGAGTCTAGTACTAGTCTAGTGCCAGGAGTTCTAGTGCCAGGAGTCTAGTACCAGGAGTCTAGTGCCAGGAGTCTAGTACTAGGAGTCTAGTGCCAGGAGTCTAGTGCCAGGAGTCTAGTACCAGGAGTCTAGTGCCAGGAGTCTAGTACTAGGAGTCTAGTGCCAGGAGTCTAGTGCCAGGAGTCTAGTACTAGGAGTCTAGTGCCAGGAGTCTAGTACTAGGAGTCTAGTGCCAGGAGTCTAGTGCCAGGAGTCTAGTGCCAGGAGTCTAGTACTAGGAGTCTAGTGCCAGGAGTCTAGTGCCAGGAGTCTAGTGCCAGGAGTCTAGTGCCAGGAGTCTAGTGCCAGGAGTCTAGTGCCAGGAGTCTAGTACTAGGAGTCTAGTGCCAGGAGTCTAGTACTAGGAGTCTAGTGCCGGGAGTCTAGTGCCAGGAGTCTAGTACCAGGAGTCTAGTGCCAGGAGTCTAGTACTAGGAGTCTAGTGCCAGGAGTCTAGTGCCAGGAGTCTAGTGCCAGGAGTCTAGTGCCAGGAGTCTAGTACTAGGAGTCTAGTGCCAGGAGTCTAGTACTAGGAGTCTAGTGCCGGGAGTCTAGTGCCAGGAGTCTAGTACCAGGAGTCTAGTGCCAGGAGTCTAGTGCCAGGAGTCTAGTGCCAGGTGTCTAGTACTAGGAGTCTAGTGCCAGGAGTCTAGTGCCAGGAGTCTAGTACTAGGAGTCTAGTGCCAGGAGTCTAGTACTAGGAGTCTAGTACCAGGAGTCTAGTGCCAGGAGTCTAGTACTAGGAGTCTAGTACCAGGAGTCTAGTGCCAGGAGTCTAGTGCCAGGAGTCTAGTGCCAGGAGTCTAGTGCTAGGAGTCTAGTGCCAGGAGTCTAGTGCCAGGAGTCTAGTACTAGGAGTCTAGTGCCAGGAGTCTAGTGCCAGGAGTCTAGTACTAGGAGTCTAGTACCAGGAGTCTAGTGCCAGGAGTCTAGTACCAGGAGTCTAGTGCCAGGAGTCTAGTGCCAGGAGTCTAGTACTAGGAGTCTAGTGCCAGGAGTCTAGTACTAGGAGTCTAGTACTAGGAGTCTAGTGCCAGGAGTCTAGTACTAGGAGTCTAGTGCCAGGAGTCTAGTGCCAGGAGTCTAGTACTAGGAGTCTAGTGCCAGGAGTCTAGTACCAGGAGTCTAGTGCCAGGAGTCTAGTGCCAGGAGTCTAGTGCCAGGAGTCTAGTACTAGGAGTCTAGTGCCAGGAGTCTAGTACTAGGAGTCTAGTACTAGGAGTCTAGTGCCAGGAGTCTAGTACTAGGAGTCTAGTGCCAGGAGTCTAGTGCCAGGAGTCTAGTACTAGGAGTCTAGTGCCAGGAGTCTAGTACTAGGAGCAGTGGGCAGCTAGTGCACAGCGCCCGGGGAGCAATGGGAGTGGGGGGGAAGGGGGATGTCCGGTGCCTTGCTCAAGGGCACCACGGCAGGGCAGGAGGTGAACTGGGACCTCTCAAAGTAGCAGTCCACACTCCATATTTAGGTCTGTTCGGGGACTTGAACCGGCAACCCTACCCTACCGACTGAGCCACTGCCGGACGTAACATGTATTATTACCTCTGATATAAAGTGGTGGTCGCTCAGTACCTCTATTGGAGATTTGCAACCTTTTCAAATCCAGTTTCAAACTCAATTTAAAAACATTTAACACCACGTTTGAAATGTATAATACAATTCAGTTTCTAAACTTGACGTACAACTGATCATCACACCAATTCTAATTTACAAAATATAAATGTAGCACTTGGAGAGGACTGCCATAAAAAAAGAACAAATCTGTAAAATCTGTAAAAAATATAATAAAAATAGGGAAATATAAAAAGGGGAACAAATAAAAGAATGGGAATGTATAAAATAAAATAAATAACGTGTGTGTGTGTGTGTGTGTGTGTGTGTGTGTGTGTGTGTGTGTGTGTGTGTGTGTGTGTGTGTGTGTGTGTGTGTGAGACCTTGATGTCGTCCATGAAGGCGATGTCTTCACTCTGAATGGGTTTCAGGGTCCAGATGAGCGCCGTGTACGACTTGGTTTTGTCCTCCTCGCCCTCCTTCATCTTCCCCATGGCCTCCCTGAGGGAAACACAGCCGTCAGCCTCTGTGCTTTACATTCAATATTATATATAATCATTCTTTAACTGCAGCTAAATATTTAACCACGGAGGTGCAGCGGACACAGGAAGGAAAATGAAAGTAAGGTTAAATATTCTCAGGAGCTGGAAGTCACCTGCTTTTCAGTTATTGTTAAACTGGAAATGGAAAATTGACTGAAGTTTGGGATGTTTAGTGTTTTTTTAAGTCTTAAAAAGTAAGGGTAAGGTGGAAGCAACAGAATCCAAAGCACTGTGAGGTGGATATTACTGGTTTTAAAAGTCGTTACCTGTGCTGAGGATCCTTTTACTTGTTTATTATTATTTGTTATTCGACAAACATTGGATGCATTGACTTGTCACGAAAGGTTAGGAGGGAGCGATGATATCACATGTATTTGTAGAGCAGTGCTTCTCAAACGTTTCTCAGTAATGTACCGACCCCGAACATTTTTGATCGAGTGACAAATAATTCCAATATAGTGATGTTCCCTCAGTGTGTGATTTATTAACTCCTTCGTGCATGAATTACAACAAACTAAGGATATTTTCATCTTCATGCATGAAAAAAAACAACATAACACTTTTATAAAACAGATTTTTCCAAGGAGTTTTTCAATTGAAATAATATGTTTAACAAACCAATGAACAAAATGATATATTGTGAAAAACTATCAAATACAATACACATATTTGACATGTTTATATGAGGACCCCCTTGGTGGTTCTAGGAATATTTTATATAAAATTGTGTTTTCTATTTAACTTATTGTAGTAAGATTATTTTTTTAATCATGGTATTTTTTTAATTAACCTTTTTTTTGTTGAAATCTCACGTACCCCCTGCAGTACCCCAACGTACCCCCAGGGGTCCGCGTACCCCCCATTTGAGAATCACTGTTGTAGATGATGTATTATTGTTATGAACAAGACGATAATAAAAGGTGTGATTTTACAGTTTCATATTTTCTCACCTGGACACAATCTGCAGGTCTCTCACTTTGATTTTGTCTGAAGAATTGTTGATTGTCTAAAAAAAAAAACACAAAACAAAAACAAGGTGAGTGGACGAATATAACATTTGAGGACATAAACGCAGCGTGTGTGTAGCTGTCACTAATGAGAGAAGGATTATGAGTTTAAATCAGCCTGTGTTTAAACCCTTTGGTCCATAGGGAAATGTCTCAACATCTATCTACCTTCTTTAGATCGACTTCAAGTAAATCAAAAGTAATCAAATTCTGGCTGAAGATGTTCAGATATTAAGCTCGGAAACAAAGTGTTAACTCCCCCTAATGAGCATCAGAGAGGAGATATAAGGGAAGTGTTTCATCTGGATTGTAGCTGACATCCTCGTGGATTCATCTTCTTATTACAGACACATGCATTTCCTAACATTCGGTCTATATGCTGTAAAATGTATTATCTCTTCGATTTACACACGGCATCTATTGCACGTCTGTCCGTCCTGGGAGAGGGATCCCTCCTCTGTTGCTCTCCCTGAGGTTTCTCCCATGTTCCCTTTAAACTGTGGGTTTTCTCTGGAAGTGTTTCCTTGTACGATGTGAGGGTCTAAGGATAGAGGGTGTCGTTTTTCTCATACTGATATTCTGAACAATCTGTGCCGTTGTATTTGCTGTAAAGTGTCTAGGCTATTTTTATTATATGTACAGCACTTTGGCTCGACCAAAAATCGTTTAGAAATGTGCTATATAAATAAAACTTGATTTGATTTGTAGTTTGTGAGGTGATGAAGATGAAGATGACCTCCTGCAGCAGCTTCATCTCCGCTCGGCTCAAATTGGATCTGTGAGGATTCAGCAGCTCCATCGCAAACGGGCGACCTGACAATTCAGAGAAAAATGTCAAAACACTTAATTTGTATGCAGTGGTAAAAAGCTCCTCACAACACGAGGAAATAAGCCATTCTGCTAATAAGTACTTTTTAATTCAGGACTTATAATTCAGTGTTTTTAGACTGCTGTATACCTATTTGTTCTTAAATCAATAATATCTTCTTCTCTATCTTTATATATTGTCCATTATTGGTTATAAAGTGATAAAAGTCAAATGAAACAGCGAGTCTCACCGGTTCCCAGAGTCCGGACGTCCACATCCTCTCTGCCAGACGAGGAGAAATTAAATCCTGTGAGAGAATAAATAAGGAACATTATCACTTCCATGTGAAACCCTGTCCTCCAGCTGCAGATACACCGAGCTGCAGGCACTCACCTTCAGATCTGAAGGAGGAGAGGACGGACTCAGCGATCAGCTCCTCCACCGACGACTCCATCCTCCGCTCGCCGTCGATCACCCAGGGAGTCTGAGGCAGGCTGCGGCTGTACTTATTGTACCTCCCTGAACAACAGAAAGAACATCAGGAACAACAACAGGAACAACCTCAGGAACAACAACAGGAACAACATCAGGAACAACAACAGGAACAACCTCAGGAACAACAACAGGAACAACAACAGGAACAACAACAGGAACAACAACAGGAACAACATCAGGAACAACAACAGGAACAACATCAGGAACAACAACAGGAACAACATCTGAGGCCTGTACGACGAATCCAGTTCAACAGACCCTGGATATGTTTGTGTTAGCCGGTTTACCTAATCCAAAAA